CAGTACAACTCATACGCGGAAGTGTTGAAGAACTTGAAGAATATCTATGACTCCAATCGTCTTATGTTAGGCAAAAGGGATGTCATCCGAGAGACCGTCGAAACAGATATTAATGGTGTTTAAGACATACAAAAAAGTTTTTAAAAATTGTTGTCTAATCGAGAAAAACATTTTTCTTAGGAAATGTGATTAAAGTGGACGGAAAAGTGTTGAGAAAATTTGTGTTAAGCGATAGTTACAAGTGGTTGACTGTCGGGGAAGTGGTCCAGAGAGTGGATAATATCGCCAAAGGATTAGTGAGAAGTGGTGTCAAAAGTGGTGATAATGTGATCATTTGGGCGGACACTCGACTCGAGTGGACTTTATGTAGTCTAGCACTCGTGAAAATCAACGCCACTTTGGCCACACTTTACTCAACATTAGGTAATAGTTAATAGTTTTCTATCGTTAATAATAGTTAGTTCACTAATAGTCATGAATTAAATTAATCAATTGAGTATATTATAAGTATTGATACAGTATTATATAAGATGCAAATTCTGTATAATGTTTAAAATTATTAAAACTTTTATTTGAATTGAAAGGCACTTCTGGTCTAATATACGGCATAAACCAAACCGAAGCCAAGACTATAGTCACGACATTTGATTTGTTGCCAAAATTAAAGAGTTTTTTGCCGGAAGTGCCAAATCTTAAGACAGTAATCTATATGCAGAATACAAAGGATCAAGTCGTTGATAACTTTCCAGAGGATATATCCATCAAATCGTTCGAAGAGTTGGAGGAATCGGGCGCTGAAGACAAGAATATTCTTGAATACCATTTACCGAAAGACACGAACGAAACGGCAGTTATAATGTATACCTCGGGAACCACTGGCGACCCGAAAGCCGTGTGCATATCACACAAATCACTGATGGTTACTCTTAAGGGGTGTCTCAGCAATAGTACCGACGCTGATATCAATGAATTTGACAGACATATGCACCTGTCGTACCTACCATTGGCCCATATTATGGGCTTTAGTTTCGAAATGTTTACCCTTTTTGGTAAGTTTTTTATAATTTTCTACATTAATTAACTATTAAATTATATTTTGTTGCTAGTATAAATTATTTAATACATAAATTAGTACACATCAATTAATCAGTATACATAAATTATTTTTAAATTACAGCTGGTATTAGAGTGGGCTACAGTTCCCCACTGACACTAACGGACTCATCGCCAGGTCTGGCCACTGGGCAGTCGGGTGACGCGAAACTCCTTAAGCCAACATTCATGGCAGCGGTTCCCCTGGTTTTGGACCGAATGCTCAAAGAAATATACGACAAACTCAGCCAAAGAAGTCCAATATCTGCACCACTTTTCACATATCTAATGGACTATAAGATCCGATGGAAGGCTCGGGGTTATGACACACCGATTATTAATAGGTTGCTCTGCGGACGGGTAGCCGAAGCCGTGGGCGGACGACTGGAATACATACTGGCCGGTGGGGCGGCCGTCAATCCCAGGACTCAGGCTATACTCAAAGCGGCCCTCAATTGCAAAATATCTCAAGGTATCCAACAAATAGTAACCAGTTTATTTTAGTGATACCACATGAGTACCGTATTTATTATTAGCCAGATCATATTGAATATTTCATAAAATTGAATAATTATTGGCGGAAATTGTTTCTTATTTGTGACTAAATATTTGATTACATTTTTAGGTTACGGGGCGACAGAGGCGGGCGGCGGTGCGATAGCCAACCACTGGGATGACCTGGCTTATAATACAACCGGCATTCCCGTAGTGGGCTATCAAATGAAGTTAGTCGACTGGCCAGAGGGCGGCTATTTGGCCACAGATAAGCCCAACCCTAGGGGCGAGCTATTGATAGGCGGCGATCAGGTGTCGAACGGCTATTATAAAGCGCCGGAACTGACGGCCGAGTCGTTTACGACCGATAGTCGGGGCGTCCGGTGGTTCCGGACGGGAGATATCGTTGAGGTGTTGACCGACGGCTCGTTTCGCATCATCGATAGGAAGAAAGATTTGGCAAAACTCGCGAACGGAGAGTATATCTCATTGGGAAAAGTGAGTCTATTTGTTAGCCAGCAACTTTTATATTGCATTTAATTGTGGTTTTAATTAAATGTAACTAATTTATTCATGTATTAAGTTCTGAATTGCTTTTCTCGTGATGTTTGATTTAACCCATAGATTGAATCCACACTCAAGTCGTGTCAATATGTGGAGAATATCTGTGTTATAGCCATAAGTGATGCCAATTGTGTGGTGGCTTTAGTCACTCCCAATCATAAATCACTGTTAAGTTTAGGCAAACAATTAGGAAAACCTAATACTTATACGAGAGACCAGTTATGCGCCGATCCCTCAGTTTGCGACAAAGTTTGTGAAAGTATCCGACAAAGCGCTCAATTGAATGGTTTGACGAAAATTGAAATTCCCGTCAAAATCAAGTTATGCGCCGAAGAATGGACAGCAGATAACAACATGATTACAGCCGCCATGAAACTCAAGAGGAATAACGTTACGTCTTATTATAAAAGTCACATCACAGACATGATTGACTCAATCAATAAGTAACTCAATTAGAAATTCTTATGAATAATATATTTATTGAGAATTTGTAGCAAAAATTAACTCTTTTTATGTTTGCATTTGAATGGAGTGTATGTTTATATCGTACAAAAAAAACATTTTCACAAAATTATAAATCATTTATTATATTCATTAATCAATTAATTAAATTTTCAAACACTTTGCGCTTCAAAAATATATATAAATTATATCCTAATATCACAATCAATTGGGACTAACGGTGCCCTTCAGGTAATAGAGGCTGGACTTGTGGACACAGTAGTCTTTGAGTAGTTTAGTGCACGTGCTCTCGTAGGTCTTGTCGGCGCCGACACCGGTGATCATGAGCTGCCGATCCCTGACCTTCTCGATGAACGCCGTGACCCTAACCCGCGTCTGGTCGGCGAACATCTCGACCAACGCCTCGCGAAAGTCGTCCAAAGGGTCGCCAAAACGGGTCAACGCGTAGAGCGGCTGTTGAGGGGAATTCTGGGGCCACTTGTTGTGCACCCGTACGCCACTCGCGTCCCTCACCGCCCGCTCCACCACCTCCTCGGCCACACTCAGCCACAGCTTATTGCCGGTCGAGTCGCTCGCGTGTCGCCGCAGATCGCCGGTCGTCACGCAGAACCCGGACCTCAGCCTCTCGTGGATACACTTCACTAAATCCTTGCACTCGTCGGCCGACGGGTAGGGACTGGCGGTCGGGTTGATCTCGAAGACCGCCACTTTCGGTGACTTCGAGCGCTTCCGCTCTTTGACGAGCGCTGGAGGGGCGGCCAGAGCTGCCGACCCGGCTGTCGGACCTGCGTTGGCCGGACTTTTGCCGCGAGTAATGGTCTTAACGGGAGATTTGCGCTCTTTTTTCGCTTTCGTCGGACTGCACATCAGTTCGCCGTTGGGGTCGACGGCCAGTACTTCCATCACTTCGCGGTCGTCGGCGCTCGCGATCGAAGCGGTCGACCCTTTGCGTGAATTGCGGCGCTTTCGGGGCGCCGGTGTTTTCGCGGCGGCTACCGGCGCCTCGGGCTCCGACTTAATGGTGGCGTTGTTGTTCGAGGCGTAGGCGCGTTCCAGACTCACGTACCGGTTTGACCACAACAGCCGCTGCCGCTGAACCACTTCCGGGTACTTGTCGTCGAGGGTGTGGTCGTCGGCCAACGCAAAGCTCCAGAGTTTGGTCTTCGGATCGAATCGTGCGATCTGTTTGAGGATATGGACGACATCGGAGTCGGGAATGCGAGCCCAGCCGGCGCTGAATAGATCCCGTTTCGCCAGTTCCCTGGTCTGCGTGAACCGCCATATGATGTAATCGCGGGTCCGGCACAGGAGGTCAATGGGAATGCCTGTGTGGGCCGACTTCTGGCACTGATCCTTGTTGTAGAGCACCTCACTCTTGATGACCCAATGGCCGCGCACTAACAGCCCGTATATCTGGACACTCTTGAGCACTGAGAGGGCGTCGAACTCGCCCTTCAGTAACGCCATTATCTCGTCGAAGGACAGGAGTTTGGCGTTCACGAGGAGGTGCCGCACCTGATCCGCGAATGGAAGGGCACTGATCCGGGACAGGGATGACGTGTCGGTGGTGGCGGTGCTGCTGGTGGTGGCGACAGAGGACTGGGAACTGAAGGACTGGGAACTGGAGGGCTCGTCGCCGGAACACTTGAGTCGCGTTAAGAACTCTTGAAGACTAGATAGCGATTGGCTGTCGGCGTCGGAGGCGCCGCTGTGATGGCTGTCCACCGAATTATACACCAAATTCATGCGATTGTCGGCCGCGAGTTGACTCCGGACGCCGTGGCACCGGATGTCGACCCAGGGATCCCTGGCCAGCGTCTGCTGGTGGTAGGCGTAGGAGCTCTCCCGGGCCTTACGCTTGCGGTCCTCGTCAGGGCCCGCGAATCGCATCGTTATTGTCTGAATGTTGGCCTCCGGCTCGTCGGGCGCCGACATCTCCGCCTCGGATTCATCGCCAGCGCCGGTATGTGCGCCACCTTTTGCTGATTTACTGCCGGCGCCGCCGCCGCCAACCACGACATCCGACGCGTGCTTTTCGTCCAAATAATTGAGTTTCGGTTTGAACTGAACCACGGATTGGATGGGATTTAAGTGCACTTCCGGACAGTCGGCGCGTATGACAGCCACACAGTACTGCTGAAGAGTCGGCCGCACTTCCAGCGATCGCAGCGTCTGTTTGTCCAGTCGTTGGGGCGCGAGATCTCTGATGGCGGCGGCGGCCGTCGACTTCTTCGTGTCCGGCGTCGAGGCTTTCGCTTCAATGGCGGCTAAATAGCGGCCAAAGAGCTCCGACTTTTTGTCGTCAAAGTTACCGCACTTTGGGTCCAATTTGGTGTCGATCTCAAAGACGCGGTGATTAGGTCTGGCTTTGACGGCAAAGTCGGCGGCGTTGCGATCAGCTATGGGTGATGTTTGGGACCAGTACTGGAAGACGTGAAGACTATCGCCGAGCGATTTGTTGATATAGACGTCCACTTCATCGACCACTTCGTCGTCGGAGTCGTCCATCGCGAGCGCAGACAATCTGTTCACCACTTGTTAGGCGCCACCGCTTTGACTGTCTGTCGGGAACCGTTACGACGATTGTGTGCACGTCTTGAGTGGTGTTTCGCCGGCGAGTCTCGCAAAAGGCTTTTCGCCAGAAGTGACGCGTGAATTGGATTAAGCGATGGTTTGTGAGCGAAATGTTTGCGTAAAATGTTTGCACTGTTTGTGTGAATCACTGAATCAAACATTGGTTTGAGTTTTGCTTTTTTGAATCCACGGGCTGTCCGTAAATTACGTCCACGAATGACAGGTTTCTGGCAGTGAGTGAGATTCTGGCACAGAATTTGAGACCCGGATTATTCGTGATTACATGAGCCCAGATTAATTAGCCAGTTGCTTTTATATGTGTTTGTTTTGTTATGATTATTGTATGATATATGCACTGTTGAGTGGTTAATGCATTTGTATCTATAAATTATTTTTATTTTTATTGTAATAGGCTCATGCATTTAAGTTATTGTAGAATTTAAGTTAATAAATTTAGCATTTTATTTATACAGTAGAATTTTGTGGTAAAAGTGAGATTTACATGAATATCATAATTAGTTGACATAATTGACAAAATCGATAGACACAACCCATTGCCATACGATTATATAATAAGATCTTAGACACGAATTAATGTCAAGTCGACCCCACCCTCAGTCTATTAATAAATAAAAGCTGGTCATCCCTGTAGTGCAGGTATATATATGCGTGAGATTCTGGCAGATTCTGGCATATGATACCCAGAATACTGGGTGTTTATTATCTAAGAATTTTTTAGGATTTAAGGAATTGTTATAATTTAATTTGATATAAGATTAAATCATTAACAAATAATTTAGAAAATTAAATAATTTATGTTGAATTTATGTTCACAAATTGTAAGCTCAGCTGTTGCTCCTAAAAACAAATTATCAAGCTAAATTAAAAAGTTTCATTAGACTATTTACTTCAAATTTACTTACCGTATTTATTTAATTTATAATTAATTATGGATTACAGTACTAGCAAACAATGTTGAAATGTTAATCGTTAGACAGATTAAAAAAGTATGATTAAGTTTAATATTATGTTTACTTAAAATAAATATTTTGTTTATTAAACCTTAAGTTAATATAAACTTGTAAAATTATACAAATGGTTAATAAACACCATTTATAGCAAACCCTTAACAGTTAATTCCAATGAAAAAAATACACCAAAAATCAAATGACCTTTTAATTCAATAAAAGGTACGGTATTGTATAATGTTATATAACAAACACCCGGTAAGTGTCTCACCATTCATTAGGTGTTCACTGACTTGAATGCAAAATATTTACACATTTAATGCATAATCTTCTTAATCGCTGTTGGAATCCCTTTAATCCCATTCGCAACTCATATCTCTACACCAATAAACTGATTGATAGTCTATTTTAAGCCATAAAAAGGATATATACCTATGAATGCCATTCCCACTCTACCCTTTTAATATCGAGTAACAAAAAAAATGAAACACTATTTGTTATAATAGAGTTTTTATTTAAAAATATTACTGCAATTGCATTTAGTGCTGCAAAAGTACTTTTCCAGTCGAGAAATCATGATTTATGTTATGGTTATGCCTACGGAGTGTTTGGCTATGAAAATAATGTCTGTAATTCTGTGGGGAAATGAGTGTAAAATAATGTTTATTTAAATATAGAGTATATAATTCCCGGCGAATGTATGGCTAATACACTGTAATAACATGTCAATCAGCGCTAGCACTGAGAAAAATAACATTATTTGTTATTTTTATGAATAAAATCTATTATTTATTCAACAAATAGTAATCACTTTTCCCACAGAATTATCGCAATTTTTTTATATACTATTAAAAAGATATTTCAAATTATATGTGAATGAATATCATATACTACTGTATTCTCGATGCGAGAGTATATTAATTGTATTCATAAACACATTACATGTACAGTGAGAGAGAAAAATTCTTGCAAATACATTGACACACATATATATACACACAGAGAGAATATTCTGTATACAATATATATAGAGATATAGAGAATATTCTGTAAGTACTGCGAAAGAATAAGGCGAAAAAAAGTGCACAGAATTTTATCGCTGTAGCGATCGTTTAGTACCGTTTCATATGAAATGGGCAATCGATAGGTTTGATAAGCGATAAGCCGGGCCACTTAAGTTGCGATTTAGTGATGGAAAGGGTCCAAATGATCGACAGTTTGATATACGGTTTGTATGGCTGAGCGTATGTGCTATGAATGCATTGATTTTGTGCAGCAAATGATTGATATGTTGTATACTCTCTCACTGTGTGTGCGGAGGCTTTGCCTTAAGTTTTTTGCATTGAGTTTACTGTTAGACAAAATGTATTAGTGTTAGAGACTCCGCGCTCACTCACACTCTCTCTCACTCTCTCTCACACTCTCATAACGTAACGGCTATTCATTTACACGGGATTTAGATATGCATTGCGTTTAGCGCTGATATGTTTAGCGCTTTTTATTTGTGATTTACTCATGATTTTCATACACACGCTATGAATGGCTATACTATCAGCGAGTTTACGGGCAAATGAGTGCCCATTGAATGCAAACCCCTGTCGTGAACGCGATTGCAGTCTATTTGTTGCCAAACTGTTGTCTATTTGTTGGTAAACAAATGCGCTCACTGTGACTGTGAGCCAGGCTATTTTGTCCGTACATTCACCGTATGTATCACTCGTTGAACGATATGATTATTAGCCACAATCGGCGTACGAGTGGTTAGTCTCCAGCGATAACTAATAGTAATAATCAATAGTTTAGTAATAATTATATCGTAATAACACTCATGTGATCGACCAATGGATAGGAGTTTTTGCGGTGAAAAGCCATTTGATGTGCAGTTTTCTCGGGCCATGAATGAGACGTGAGCCTCAATTAAGCCATCGTTTGCCACAACCATTGAAGCCAATCATCACCGCTCAAGACATCCCGAGAGAGAGACGATAACTGCAGTGACACGCAATCGGTGGCGACGATTGGCGGCCGACACTACCTCTTAGGATGAGCTCTCACGAGACGAATGGTGTGCTGAAGGATGAGCCGAAGCCGCGGCCGAAGGGCTCCTACCCGTCGAAGCAGCAGAGGTTCGGTGCGGCGCCGTTAGCCTCGTTTGAAGACTTGCCATCTGATGATCAACAGAGTCCTGATGACGAGGATGACGACGAGGAGGACGTGTCGCTAAACGGAGCGGTGATTAGGGGCGCCAGGAATGTGCTGGACTTGGACTCGAGTCAACTGTTGCACCGGAGGGACAGTCCGGGAGGACAGCCGGCGCTCAGCCCGACGCTCACCATCACTCCCACCGGTTGTGACCGTAAATCCAGTGATTGTTTGTCGCAAAATACGCTCACATTAGGTCTCGTATCGCGATTATTACCGCAGTTTTTAATGACTAGACGTTTGTATTAACACTTCGCGATCTCTCCATTTCCCTACCGTTCCACAGGTGGCAGCGATTCCGCGACACCCGTTCCCGGCGTCAGTAACTCCGAGTCGTTGTCGTCGCTGAAGCCGGAAGGGGAGGGCCGGCAACAGAGAGGGTCGTCGCACAACTCGCTGCTATCGGTTCCCGGCGCCGCAGCCGACGGCTCCAAGAGTCCCACCGTCGAGTCGAAACGCAAGAGCTCGTGGACAGACATCTTCTTCCCGGGCCGGAGTCGCAGCAAATCGACGTCCAGTTCCCCGCGAAAGTCGCCGACGAGTACCGAACGCAAGCGAAGCGTATTCACGAAGTTCTTCGGCGGCGGTGGCGCCGGGAGGGCTAAGTCGCCGACAAAGGGCTCCCATTCGCCGGCTGAGCCCCAGAGTCGGGAGGGGTCGGCCGTGGAGTCGACGGATACGCCGCGAGTGTCGGTGACGGACACGTCGGAGAACGAGCCGCACGAGGAGCTGATGATCGGGTCGCCCATCAATGAGCCCAAGCCGTCGGCTCAAGACATCGTCGGCATCCTAGAGGCCGCCCACTCGCAGATGGAGAGCATGAGTACGACGCCGGTGGACGAGGGCTCCGGCATTCCGGTGCCGTTACCGCCCCTTAACCTGCGGAAGACGTTGAGGCGCCGGCAGTCGACGATCGACGATGATATTCAGAGTCTGCCGGAGATACTGCCCAGCAGTCGATCCAATCGTCAATTGGTCGACAACTCGGATGACGCAGAAGGCATGGCCAACAGGGAGACGGTTGTCGTGCAGATCGAGTCCACCGGCAAATACGACGACAACTCATCGGAATCGGAGGTCGGCTTCGACGACAATCGCCTCAAGACTCGGCATAAGACGGGCGGCGCCGACGGCAAGAGCGCGTCGGACGGCGAGGAGGACTTCGAGGCCCAGACTCTGTTGACTCAGGACTCCATCGACTTCGACGAGTCGTCGTTCGCCGAGAGTTTCGCCGCGAACTTCGCCCTAATGTCGACCCAACCCGGGGGCCCACCCGTGGAAACGGTGCGGTCGCCCACCCGTAAGGAGCGGCTGGAAGTGTTGACGATTCCCATCGAGAGGCCGCGCAGTACGACGCCGATCAACATCGTGCCGCTGGAGGCCTACATCAGGTCCAGTTCCATATCGCCCGACCCGGGCGTCGAGAAGATAAAGCTCTCGCTTCCGGGCGACCAGTTCTCGGCGTCGGCCAGGGCTAAGTCGCCCCGCAAGTCGAACCCATCCATTTGGTTTGAGTTCTGCGAGAAGGGTCTCCAGAGTCCGCTCCAGAGGCGTAAACAACGGGCCAACAGTTGCTTCCCGTCGGTGGACACCACTCACGAGCCGAACAACCCGTTCCTGAACTCAGCGGCGTTTGACGCGTTCGCTGCGGCGGCGGTCAGCGCCGCCAACCAGGCGCTCACCCCATCGCCCGGCAATCTGACGCCCGTCACCCCGTTGGAGGGGTTTGGCACGGGGGCCGACAAGTGGCCCGGTTTTGGCGATAATTTTGTCAACTTTGACACGATTTTGTCGGCGAACGGCGTGATTGAGGGGTTCGGCGACAAGTTCTCGTGTAGGTGTGAGTGCAACGCCAACACTAATACGACAAACAGTGCGACGACCGGTGCTAACTGTGCGGCCGACCCGCTGCTGGTGAGCGGTTCCAGTGACGCGTCGGCCGGCGACGACAGTCTCAACAATAAGAGCGGCGGCGCCGGCGGTACGACAGCGGCCGCCGGCGATCACGAGTATATGGAGGACCAGCCGCTGGTGAGCCCCTGTCACTGTCTGTGCCACCGGAGGGCCGACTTTGCCTTAACTTTGTGGAAGAGTTCGTCGTTTACGAAACAGGAGAGCGTCTCATCCGATATATCATCCGCTTCTTCGCGCCTTATCGGTTCCAGTTCTTCGAATTCCAAGTGTTCGCCATCTGATGATATACTCGAGTCCTTGACCTCTTGAGTGAGCTATTGGTTGAGTGAGTGATCACTGCGCGCGCGGAGACCCTAAGAGATATATATATCATAGACATCGCACCACAAGTACACCGATTTTTAGTCACCGCCGCATACGTACTGTACCACTGGTCCACGAATTGGTGATTGTGTTGTGTTTTTGTGATTTGGTTTTTGTTTAACGATCCGAAGTATCGCTTCGACTACTCATTCATACGGTTCCTCCACAAGAGATAGAAGTTTGTTATGATTTTGTTAATTAACTATTTATTTATGAATTGATTGCGAATTACACTCCGATTTGTTATGTTTTTTATGGTTTATTGAAAAAAAGTGTTACCATTTTATGGTCTATTTTATTGATTATGATTTTTGTTGTGCCGAAAATGTGTTGTTCCAAACGCTAGTAGTGTGTCCACGACATTGCCATCACTTGTGATTTGAAGTACAATAACCCCATCGGATGTGTTGCTCCAGAAGAATATAAATGTGTTTTAAAATATATATATATTATGATTGAAATCCTGTGCCTCCAAAAGCAATCGACGCTTATATACAGATTATAATACACACGTCTCTCCCTCTCCCACTCTCTCTCTCTCTCTCTCTCTCCCATTCTCTCTCTCGTCTCATACACACACACGAAGTGATCATCAAATTTGTGGTAAATTTTGGAACTCTTGTTAAAAGACTTCATAACTGCTCTCAAAAACTAAACACTAGACTCTATTTCGTGGAGAAAATCATATTTATGTACAAATGGGACATAAATTTCACTAAAAAAACTGTTTTACAAAAATACTAATAATTATTTGAAACGAAAAACACTTTTTACTCTCAACTTTGGGACGACTTTTTTCCCGTTGCGTTGGATATTGTTTTGCATTGACTTATGAATTGAATGAATGGTAACAAAATAATCTCAATTTTTATGTTTTATTTTGCGCGAAAAAGTACTTAATCCCTGCACAAGACTTTTGAAATCAAACTTTTATTATTGTATTTATTGAGAGAAACGGATAAAAAACTCTTTGTATTTATGAGACCAATGACTGGTTTTTAATTAATTGTTAAATTGTTAACAAAATACGACTTTTAGATACTTTACGTGAATGTGTTTTTTGTTATATTTATGAATCATGATTATTGTTATAAATTATTACCATTTATGAGATTCTCGCAAACATTTTACTTATGAATGAATACATAAAGACATATGTAATTGAAAACTAAATTTAGGGTACATTTTAAGAAATAGTTTACAAATAATAAACACTAAAAGTTAGTTAAGATTTAGTTAAATCTAACATTAATATCATTATGAATTAAATTAAACACGATTATATATACAGTACTGTCAGTGCCATTGCAAATAGTCAGTGATTTTTATAATTTTGACGACAATTTTATCCAATTTTCACGATTAGTATTGAAATTTATAGTTTAAACTGAATATAAGAAAGAATTTATTTGTCTCTCAATTGAAAAGTGTTTTACGGAAACGCGAAACACTTTTTCAAAAAGTCTTTTAACTTAAAAGCAAAAACTAATGCAAAAAACTAAACTATCGATTGAATGATGTTTTTAAATGTATTGTTTTTTGTTATGAAGTTTTATTGCATATAATATGTGCCAACGATTCTCAATACCTTTTCAATGAAAATAAAAACCCAATAATTCAGTGTTAGTTTGAATGACAAAATTTTGTCTAATTTTCTAGTCATTACTGAAATGAATAAATAATATTTTTGTCTGTAATTACTTTTTAAAACTAATGTTTTTGGTTGTAAACTAAAAAGCGATTGTTTATAAAGTAATTATTGCATTTGATTTGCCATTAAAACGCTATTCAATAATTATATTTAAATATTAAATACATATGTGACAAAAAAATTAATTATGATTTTTTAAAAGCATACTTATAATGGATGTTCTCGGTTTTGCAAATGGCAGATTGGTATTGCTAGGTGAATTGGCATGAATAACAAACATTTTACACAAAAATATAAAAATTTGATTGCTCCTGGATTTATATTTTTGTGTAAAATGTTTGTTATTCATGCCAATTCACCTAGCAATACCAATCTGCCATTTGCAAAACCGAGAACATCCATTATTAGTTTTTCAAATTGAAATAAAATGTCAATAAATGATAATTAATTAACAAATTCCTTGATTTTATTTTTGTTTCGTTATATTTTGGTCTAATGTTTTTGTGTTTGACATTAATTCCTTGATATGGATCTCAAAGTGATATTAATTTAGCACTAAAACTAATAATACGAATAATAAGCTTATTATTTCTAATCATATGCTAAACACAAGAATTTTTGTTAAGAATATTCTTGACGCTAATAATCGCAGACACAAAATGTTTACTTAAATTGTTATGTTTACAATACACTTACAGATATAATAAACACATGAAAATGAATTTTTTTCTGGTTATAAATATACTATCGATGAGTATAAAAGATTTTATGCACTTTTCGTATGACACACAGAATCTCATTGATTGAGAGGTTTTTAATTGATTAATATTTTATTGTGTTTTTCTCGAGACCAATACAATGTATACTTAAATACAAAGCCCTGAGAATAAGCGACACATACTATATATGGTATGGTATGTGCAGAATATTCTGTATTCCGGGTCCGCAAAGCATTCCCACTAATTGTATCCAACATTTCCTTCCGACTATTGTATGTAATAATGAATTCTCAGGAATTGTTTTGTTTTTTATTGTCATTCACTCGATATCTATATATATTTTTCGCTTAAATTCTTTATGTAATTTATTCATTACTTTATATACACACAACACACATACACTATATAAGTCATAGAGAATTGTTTGTGATATTCATTACGGATTTTTGTTTCCATTGAGAAAACAAAACAAAAAACTTTACAAATACTTGACAGACACACCACACGAAAGCACTGCATATCTCTTATTATAGATAATTTAATTGTTGTTATAATTGTTTAATACAATAATGAAAATCATTTTTTCGGTTTTGAAGAAACCATGATTTTTTAATAGACATTAATATAGCAGTTATTTGATTACAAAAAAGCAATACTCAATATATTCCGTGTTAAACGAAATATTTATTATTAATTATGACTCGAATTTTACGATTATTATTATGATTACTATTATATTATGATTATTACTATTGTTGTCGAAATATATATATATATATATTTAACTTAATTGTAAAGAAATTTTAAATAATAAAAAATAAAACAACATTTGATTATGATTACGATTTGTATTATTGATTAAGTCATTAATGCATTCATTTGTGATTCCGTTTTCAACAGCCATTAAAAGTAGTTATAGTTTAATAGCTTTCCGTCAAAAGCATATATTTTTCTAATGAATTAGGCGTTTATTATTGCAAAATCAAATTATACTATCATTATTATAGCTATTAATGAGTGAATTTGCGTTTATTTTGCAAATGAGTTTCAATTCTGGATATTTATTATTAGAGTTTATTTTTGCAATTTATTACAAATTTCTAAGATTAGTATAAAATTGAAAAAGTTTTTTCTCAAATGCTATTTACGTCTCAAACCTGATATGTATTTTTCAATGTAATTAAATCTCTAGTTTAATGGGTAATATTAAGGGGAACTGGAGGTTTACAAACACTGACCCCTCCCTATACATTGCCCACCAATTCTCGCTATATTTCTCGACAAAACACATGAATTTATTTATTATTCAATGCCTTTAAACGTAAACCTTATTTACGATTCATTTGAATGAAGCAATTAATGCATTATTTAGGTTCGCCTTAACACTAGTAATGCTAAACGATTGCGACAAACATCTCGTAAAACCACTTCTCAGTTCACAACAACTTTTGAGATGTGTTTTTCGTGAAAGCAATTTGAAAAGTGAATTGTTTTAGGCATCGAAAACAAGGTCATTGAGACGATAGGGACAGGGATTTAGTGAAAAGTAAATCGCATTCAATGTGTCATATAAATCGTCGGCTAGAAAGTGAAAACTATACCTAAATTATAGTCGCGTTTATAAATGTTTAATAAGTTTTTTCTTATTCGCCTAATGATTAGACGGGAAAAAATGTTTTTTAATGGTTTTCTCTCTCACCTATCGCTGGGAAATGTATGCGAAAGTAATGTATGCTTTTTTAATGGGTGTGCGCTATCTGTAAGCAAATGAACTCATTTTCAACGGCAAAGATGTTCAGCAAATGATATGAAAATTGTTTTAACGTTTCAAAAACAACAAAGTTTTGAAGTTTTTGTTTGTGTGCCAAAAACAAGTCTTATGAATACCTGTTATACATAAGCCATTCATTTCTATAGCCGTACTGTTGTTACGGAGACTATGCCATGAAATGCGTGTTTGGAGTAAAAAGTTTTACGTTTACGGCATATGTATGTGTTTCGCGGTGTTTTACATAGTGTTCAAAACTAACCAATTTATCGGTGACTTGAATACTCAAAACGAGGCGATAAGCGATGAAAACTTTGTCTCATCCGACAGAAAGTATGAGGAGTTCCCGGCAAAGACCAGTTCCCCAGTCGTGTCTCAATGGAAAGTACTATCGGACGGAACGGTAACCCATTTGGGGAACTATTCTGACGATTCTTTGGCGAGAATTTCGTTTATTATAAGAAACGAAAGACTTTGCGATAGTATTGATGGGAAAGGTATTCACGTAATTATTTTCGTCGTATCGGAGGCCAGAAATTTTCTCAGACGACAGACAGTTAGGGATACCTGGGCTCATAAACACCTACAGAATGCCCTCCCATTCACACCGGTATTCGTGTTGGGAGTGCACGCGAATCGCGAGGAGTTCCTCGAGGTTCAGGTGATTATAGTTTGGGTTTTAATTAATTAATTATTTATTTTTTTATACAAAATATTGTTTCGTAGAAAATGTTTAATAGTTTTTCTCAAATGTTTTCTCTATTTTGTGAACAACTTTAGAGTAAAATCCAAACCGAGAGCCAAACGTTCGGCGACTTAATACAAGTCAATGTAACGGAAAGTTTCCCGAATCTCACCATTAAGTCGATGGCAAGCGTTAAATGGTTTGTCGAGTTGTGCCCAAAGACGGCATTTTACTTCAAGACTGACGACGACATACCCATCCACGCCGTCAATCTCATTGAAACTGTGAAACACTTCGAGAATCGTAAGGAAAGTCAGTATTCAGTGGTGTGTCACGAGAACCAGAGCCGACAAATCATACGAGATTTGCGTAAAGTATCGCAAATCATGCACTCCTATCGAGACTCAACCTATCGATTGCTTATATTGAGTGATTTGAAGCGAAAGATATTGAAGTATAAGATTAGCTACTCACAGTTACCCGGCTTATACTTTCCACGCTACTGCTCAGGCATGTCAATAATGCTTATTTCTAATAAGTTATTACCGTATTAATTGAGTTTATTATTAAACAATTTATTTTCATCCACTGTTTATCAATACTATCGTAATACGGTTACTATACTGTATAGTAATACTATTAGAATATTCTGTACTATGTTTATGACAGTATAATAAAGTAATAAAATTTATATTTAATATAGAATTTAACAAGTAGTCTATAAAAAAGTAATATTAATTAAAATATTTTATTACAAATTAGTATAATACTTAACAGTAAGGCCTAAATCAACAAACATACTAACCTAAACACTATTAAGATTTAAATAATACTTTTTAAAATAATTTTGAATCTTATAAATAAAATATTGTTTGTGTACTGTATTAGGATTTGGTTACGGCTTTGGAGCACAGGTAGCCCGACGTCTCTACGAGACAGCCCTTACGATACCGTACTTCCAGTTCGAGGACGCGTTCATCACAGGCTTTAGCCGACAAAAGGCTAACCTCTCTATTGAGGACACGGAATACCTAACCCTTCGGCCGCTGTTGAGACAATCGGACGGATTGTGTGCTTTCAGTGGCGGACGGATTAATGGCAACGAAATGTCGGCGCGAGATATGAGACAACTGTGGCTCAACGCTAACGGCCAGACAATGTGTCCACAGATCCGCAAAAATGGCTAAAAAGGAGATATATTTATATATAAGTGAAGATTGTTTTATTCATAACTCGATTCCCATGTTTGGGTCACTTTCTGGGACAGTAATGGCGACCAGAAACCGGACAAACACTACCTGTCCTCACGTGCATCCACCGGTTCTTAGCTTTAAGATCAATAGTGGACCAGATTTGCGACCATATTTGATCCCAAGAATCAATGAGACAATTAAAACGGCAACGAATTCAAAAGATGAGAAAAATAATCATTTATTTGTACAGTATTTGACTTTAGGAAATGACAATCAGATTAACAGTTAATAACATATATCTCTGTCTTTGAAATGAATTAATAGATTATTAATTGCCGTACAAAACAGCGTTAAATTTAAAACTAAAGTTACAAAAATGAGTAATGAATTGAATATTGTTTTACAAAATATATAATAAAGTTATCGACAAAAAACAAATCAATAAACAAGCGATCGTTTCGTGACATATAATACTAATCCAAGAGAACGCAGTCGTCGTCATCCGAGTCGTCCACTTCAATCACTTCCCGATCACCTGTCGGTTGGATAACGGCAATGGCCGGCCGCTTCACGACATAGGGCTCCAGGCGCTCAATAGGGTCGCAATCGACCAGATCGTCGGGCTCTGCCAGCTCGCATTGGACACCCGTGTCGATCATCTGCACGTGTCTGCGGACCCGTTTCGGTGGTGACCCACCGCTCGACGCGTGACGACTCCTACGCTTAAGACCGCTGCCGGCGCTCGACTTGGACTCGGCGTCCGATATCAACTCCACGCCATCGCCGGCGCTCGCTTTGGACGCCTTCTCGCTCTGGAGGCGCCGCTCCTCAGCCTCTTTGGCGGCCGCTTTCACACGCCTGTCCACTGCGGCGCAGTCGGCGCACACCCACGCGTCCACGTACTCCGCGCGGCCCAAACAGGTCCAGTGGGCGCCCCGGGAGCCGCACGTGTCGCAGATCAACAGCTGCCACTGACGGGTGTCCGACGCGTGCGCGCGTCCCTGTGCGCACAGACACACCTCTTGGTCGCACCGGGAGTGCCGCTGATAGAGCGCCGCGAAGCCGTTCTCCTCCCGTTCCCACGAGGCGTCCTCTTTGGGTATATAAATGCCGTGAATTGTCATCATTTCCTTGAACTCCTGGCCGCTGTTACAGAGCGGGCACTTGTAGTGATAGTAGCCGGCGCTCAGCGCCTGCTTCTGGAGGCATATGCGGTGCACGAGTTTGTCACAGCACGGGGTCTGCAATACGGACAGCCCCTCGTCGAACACCACGGGATCGCCACACGTCGGGCACTCGTCGTTCTTCTCCTCATCCGGATTGTTGAGCTCCTGTCGGGGCCGGTGTTTCGCGCAGTAGCAGCTGTGCGGGAGGAACGGTATGCGAGTGTTATTATAGTGAACAGTGAGCCAGTGGTTAAGAGATTTAGTGATAGAGTAATAGGTATTAGGAATCAATTGCCGATCAAATGAGTGATTCATTCAATGCATGCGATTAGTGGTGAACGAGTGAGTGAGTGAGAGATAGAGAGAGAGAGAGAGTGAGAGTGAGTGAGTGAGAGTGTGTGAGAGAGAGAGAGAGAGCTATAACTGACTCGAATTTATCGAAGAACTGACACAACGCGTTGTTGTGGACACCGCACGGGTAGTGAAACGACGTCTTGCACTGCGAGTCAGACAATAGCGGATGAGTCTTAAGACACGAGAGAGACATTGCGAGACAATACTAACCGTCCCAATGGCGCACCCGATGGTCGCGCCGTTTTTCCGACAGTAGGAACACTTCAACTTCTCGCCCCTCTTCTTCTCCTTCCGGATGTCGTCGGGAAGGAACCCACAGATGCCTTCGTCGTCGCGACCCCTCTGTGTCAGTCCCGAGGATAATAGCTGCGGAGGAATGGCGTGAGTGTGTTATCATCATTGATGCGGTCATCGGTGGTAAGGGAGTGGCGGACACCTTACCAGACAATAGTAGTGAACGTATATGTCGTGCCATTTGTAGAGCTTTCCGTATTTGAAGGACACGGAGTCCGGCTTAAGACAGAACAGACACTCGTTGTCGTTCTTCTTGGCCTTCTCTATGGGATCAGTTCCGGTGATAGGAAGCAAATACACGATAAATATTGCGGTAATTGTCGCACAAATAATGAGATAATACTTTGTTTGCTTTTTCTGGCGCTCATTGTTGTGTCCGACGACGACGTGTTAGTCCCAACACTGTCTCTCTGGTCCACTGGATCAGCCCACCGGTGATGCGTGTCTTAAGTAGGGATCAAATACTGGTCACAAATGTCTCAATATTTACCGTTTGATTGATAATTAGGTGACAAACGAGTCACTCATTTGACGTGAAATATGAGTGCAGTCTATGACTGAATGGGAAATCATTGATGAAATGCAAACCAATGGCACACACAGTGTATGTGTGGCGACAACAGTGGCGCCAATGCGGCGCTTATAGTGAACTAATGGCAAGTGTTTTGCGTGTATTGACAGTACGTGTGGCCCAATAGACGGCAATACAATACATGAGTGGCAATGCGTTTGGCATTTGAATGCAATGCGATAGCAATCGGTTTGTCGTTTCCAAGCGTACCATTGGCTGAGTGGTTGGTGTGTGGCGTTTCTATGGCGACCACACGGTGTGCGCTATTGGGGGAGAAAAGTGACAACAATTTGTGTTTATTTTTGTTGTGTTTTTCATTGAGTAGTGATTTGTTTGACATTTTGTGCGACAAATCAATACAACACTTATTATCACTTAGTTTTACGACTAGTTTTGCGTTCATTTCATAAGGTATTCACGCAATGAGTGTATGATTTATGTGTCCGTTTGACTGATCACTTGAGCTGATCCGTGGGCGCGCGAGTGATCGGTTTGTCTGAAGCGATGGTTTTGTTTAATTTACTGCCTTTTTATCAATACATCAATACTTACGACTCTATCGTTGTCTTAGTGGTCGTCCTAATCGTGTCCATCGGTATCGTGTGTCTCAAGTACTGTCGCGTGACTCCGGAGGAATGTCTTAAGACATGTGTCACTAATTGGCTCATTATATCCCCCGCAGACGTATGGATGTGTTGGGCGGCGACGGCGCGTCCGTTCATCGGCTCAATAGGGATGACATGTCCTCCCAATCGATGGTTAGACTCCGGAATCCATTCCTCTTTAAGATAACGGATGAGTCGATGCGATGCGATAACTACCGCAATGGCCTCAAAGTGACCATCACTTGCGACAACTCCTTCTGGGTGTACAGCTATTGGGCGGTCGATGTCGAGCACCTGCACCAAGAACTGGATGACGAGTGGCAGCCAATGAGACAATCACTACTCGACAGGAAGTTCATGGATGGCCACCACCTGTTCGCCGGTGAACCCGATCTGTGAGTGGGTAGTGGAGTGCATGTGGTGTTGGTTTCGGTGGTAATGGTTGTCGTGTTTTCGCAGGTATTATGAGACCAATGAAGAGATCACTCATTGGGTGAGACCTCCGGCCGAGTACTTCAGCGGTGAGAGTCTGGGCTATAATCCGCGCACAAGATATCCATTGGTTGTCATAATAGTCAGTAGTTTTGAGTTTGTTTTGTGAGATAATTGTCTTAAGAAGTGATGAACTGATTGGTTGTCCAACAGGTCCGCAATGATGACGACGACGGCGTTGAAGTCAATGATAACGATGTGGTGAGTAGTAGTCATCGGGAAGTGTTGAGTGGTTTTCACTAATGTTTCGTTCATTGCGGTCTACTGTCTGTCCGGAAAGGTATGTATGCTATCGATAGTACACCTGAAGGACACGTTCTGCTCGACGACCACATCACTGATCACTCAATACCTGAAGCAAAGGAGTGGACATATGTTTGATTTGAAGCAACTGTTCGCACCTCAAGAGGTGGACGACCCCCAGAGGGGACAGTCGTGTATAATCTGCCGCTCGAGTGCCGTAACCCATGCGCTGCTGCCGTGCCGTCACACCTGTCTGTGCGGTCAGTGTCTGCAGCGCATCGACAGGTGTCCCGTCTGTCGGACACCCTTTACCTCATTCTTCAGGATTAGGGACAATGAAGACTTGGATGACGATAGCGATGAGGAGGACACCAATGCGCCCACCAATAGGTCCAATAGGTCTGAGTCGAGCACCGGTTGGTTCTCTTCCATCAACAGTAAACTCAATCACTGGTTGGGAGGGAACTGATGGTTGGGATTGGCGTCTCAATTGTCTGTTTTTGTTATGCTTTTTATAAATTGCTTTCAATTTATGGTTATATTTATCGCTATTATTGTGGTATAAAACACTTAACTCTAAAATAAGGGCTCAATTTATATGTTTTATTGAAATCTCAAAGAATAATATTTATATTTAAAATACGATTTTTATTTTGTTTTCAAACTATAAATAAATATATAGTTTATTGAATACAATGTTATTCTATAATAAATTTACTATTATTGTAATTTTACTTTTTAATTAGTTATATCATAAACTCTATTATTAGAAAAGTATTGATTATATTTGTGTGAAAACCAAAGGCTTATGACATGAATGGTGTCTATTAACCAAAGGGTAAAGAGTTTGCCATTTGTGCCAAACCATAGACTAAACAGTCCTCCAGTATATGACATATAGTCTGTTAAAGACATCACCGGTTCCTCCCGATAGACATACAGGGGTTGTGTTGAG